TGAGGCCAATTCATATGGCTGTATGAATTGGCCTTTATTTTTGCCTGCTTGGTAGTCATGCCCAAGTGCTGGATAAAGTTATTATGTCATCATAATCACCCTGACCAGGTATCATAATCCCATGGTTACAACTAGAGTTGTATACATTTGGTTTGAAAAATACTGTGGGGCCAGGAAGTGGAGCAGAGTATAACCTAGAGAAGTCTAGCAGTTTGGAGCAGAGAAGATGGAATCGCGAAGGTACGTTATAGAGCATTTTCTGGGTGAATCTGGCAAGTGATAGGATTGAGTCTGACAGAATCTAGGGCAGGTATATGTGGCAATCCAGTTGTTGTACTCCCAAATCCCACCGCCGCCCCCCCCCCCAGCATGGCCAGTGTTCAAGGATTACAGGAATATTATACAACAGCATCTAGAGGGCCACAGGTTCCCCAAATCCAATCTTGAGTTTACTCGCTTTTCAAGAATTAATTAACAGTGACCTGCAGCAGCATAATTTTACTGTTAAGGTGGTTTGTTATGCCCCTTAAACCCTCCATTTAAGCAATTAAGACATACTTTGTGGGGTGCAGTGTTTTGAAGTGCTGCTTCCGAATATTTTGGACTATATGCCTGCAAATCTGTGATGGTGAAACTTTAGTTCAGAGCTTTCCAAACTTTTCATGTTGGTGATGCACTTTTTAGACATGCATCCCTTTTCGACATGGTAATTCAGTTTTACTAGCAAACTGGAGGCTAAACTAACCCCTTATAAGAGATACGGACACACATCGCGTGACATACCTACACACCACAGCCAACACAATAACGTGTTGTGACTCACTGTTTGGAAAGCTCTTCTTTAATGGAAGTTATAAAAAGATAAGAGGAGCCATAGCCGCACCATCCTGCTTCCTAGAGTGGCCAACAAAACACACATGGGAAGGTCAAAGCATAGCTTGAAAACAATAACCTCTGTTGCTCACCAGGAACTGGTTTTCTGTAGCCCAGTGCCTAAGGACTTGGGAGTTCCGTATAGCCATCATGGCTAGCATCTCCTTCAAAAACCATCTAAGCTTGTGGCCAGTACCACGTATTGGTAAATTCAATACATCAGATATGTCTTGTGTGAAGACATACTTACTTTCCCCCCCATCCTACAATTGCTGCCCCTAAGTTTCATTTGTTGAAGTGGCAGAACAACTTATTTCTATATGGTTGTATGAATTATCCCCCCCCCTTTTGGTCTGATGATTGTCACGTCCAAGCATCCACCAAGTGTGAGATGAGGTCATAATCACCCTGCCCAGATACCATAATCCCATAGGCACAACTAGGGTTGTTAACCAAAAAATAGTTTGATACCAGCAGGTGGAACCAGGGCAGAACCTGAAGAGGTTTAGCTGGTTGAGGTAGACACAGAATGGAATCGGTAAGGTAAAATGTACAGCCAAGGGCATTGTCTGGGTGGAATCCTTGTCTGGTTATGAGGTTGATGGTTTTTTCTAGCAGCTAGTACAGGTTACCTGGTAGAAAATAATGGTCAGAGCAATAAAATACCAGCTGGTTTGCAAACCCAGTCACAGCCCTAATTTAAACAGGTTGGGTTGCTTGAGAATATTCTGGGGTTATATACCAGCAAATCCGTGATGGTCAAACTCTGTAAACATCCCCAGCTTTTTTCTGCTGTGGTTGTCCTGTGTTTGCTGTGAATTTGCCTTTCTTAGATTGGTGATCCAGCAGTTAATCTATTGTAATTATCCCTTATTTTTTGATGTGAATTTGGGTTTGTATATGCACAGAACATGTACCTTTCTTTCTGAACAACTCCCTCTTACAGTGCTTTATTGTAAGTGGCTTATTAAATTTGAGGGAGTTTAGAAGTAGCACCTAGGTTTGGGAGAAGCTGCACTTCAGGGTGGGGGAAGGAAAAACATGAGAATTTCCTAGCCTGGTTTGCACATCATAATAAGACAAACCACAGTTTACCAGGACTGTACAAAAATAGGTTACTCCTGGAGAAGAACTTGCAGTTGCATTGCTTTTCCTTTTAGCTTGGTGCAGCACAGCAGCTGAGGCATGTTTTCCGATCCCAGACATGAGTTAAGCTTTTCTCTTCCTTAACCACAAGACCAGAAGAAACATGTTATATATTTATAGAAACAGGGCCTTAAGTTTGCATGCTTATGTGCATAAGAAATTTTGTGCATCCTTTGTACAGCAACCTCTAGCTTGGTTCTGCCACATGACCATAGTTTTATTTTATTCTTAGATGTGTTGCAGTTTTTACAGCCTTTCCTCCCTCCTTTGTAGCACATTCTAAGCAAAATCTTGTAAGAACAAAATATATTTAGGGAGCACCACTGATTTGTGCAGCTCTGTTCTCTGGTGTCTGTCTTATAGCTGCATTTTATCCTCTGTTTTTGTGCCTGGATCTTCAATAGCTCATGCATACAAACTTCTGTGCATTGAAATGTTGTTGCCCAGTTTCATTTCCATCCCCTTCTGCTCCATTAGATTCCGCTACGGAAGGCCTCCCAAACATCAGGGGTGGCTTTTTGGAGTGGGGAGAACAAGGGTGATTATGGAAAGCAGCCTAAAAAATCTTGGAGAATATTTGAAAGAGTTTTCTGTGCTGCCAATCATAATTAAATTAATTAACACATTATCTCCATATTGTTTAGAGGTCTGACAGAAGAGGGTCCTTTTCAGAAGTAAAAAGGAAAAAACACACATCATGTATTTGGAAAGTGAGCGGTTTATTTTGGGTGTGGCACATGTAGTGCTGGGATTTTTTCAAGTGAATTATTCTCTCTCTTTCTGAGTTATTCGTGTGCTTCCTTCGATGGCAAATACCCAGCTTCTCTGAAATCCCTGCCATAGAATGACTCACAGTGTTATGACTAAAGGATGGGTCATTTATCCCTTGAGGCACACTGTAGAGTATAATATTCCTATTGTATGCATGATGTCACAATTTGAAAGATTTTAGAATTTGCACAAGGTAGCATTTTTCTATAAACGTTGAATATGGGGATATATATACATACACATAGGTACTCAGGCTTGGTGCAGACATAGTGCCAGTGATAGCTTGGTTTCAATCTCTTGTTTAAGAACTATGTTAAAAGCTGGTTGGCAAAGCATTTTTTAGAATTGCTTTAACCAACTTTTACTGAGAGTGGTTACCTCTGGTGCATATGCAATGCTGCACCATGAGTAAGAAATATTAGTTTGAAATCTGTGACAAGTACTTAACGGTACCTTTGCAGTTAATAGCATTATTTTGTTGTGAAGAAAATCCAATCTTGCCCCTTCTTGGATGAAAACTTTGTTAGCTGCCCGTTTTCAGCCAGATAATTGTTGCTTCTGTTTTGTTGTTTTTTCTTTTCCCATGAACAGGCAAGGCTTGCATAACAACTTGCCCTTTCTTGTCCTGAAAAGCCAACAGCTGAACAGGCATCATTTTGTGTTTTTCATCTCACGTTTTGCTTCATTACTATCGGCATGTGTGAAATGTCGTGGATATCAGCAAAATGAAAACAGCAGGCATATGCTTTCAGTTATAAATGTTGTTGTTTTTCCAATTCACTTAGTATATGCTATGATGTGAAATCCTCCTTAATCTTTCCTCTGCATTACTGTGACATAAAATATTGGTGCTTTTCAAGTTCACTCTTCTAACAATTCTTTGTAGTTCTTTATGTGCATATTAAATCTGTAGAAAATGTTACTGTTTTTCCTTTTCAGTTGAAGGAATTAATTTCACTTTAGACAATAACTTTAGACTGAAGTCATGGGGAATAGCTTATCGATATTAAAGTCCTGAGTTTTTGTTGCATCTTTTGCTTGAAATCCATCTTCTGTTTTAAGGAATTGGAATAGGTCTTCTACACAACGGGAATCTTGCCAAAACATGAACCCAAAATTGGGGAGCGAAATAAATTCAGGTTTACTCTGTGAATGATTTCAATGGTTCCTAGAATTTGTATCTCATTAATTCTATCAGCAGGGAAATGAATAAGTCCTTTTGTCCCCTGTTGTTCCCTGAAATTACCACTGGTTACTTACCTCTTTTTATGTTCCCTTCTCTTTCTTAACATCAACTCCTTAATTTTGCCGCTTAAAACGTAATTGTATATAATATCATCTACACTGATGCATCATCTCTTAGGTAATGAACTGAATTATGGGTCACATTTTCATTCAGATAGAGTACTGCATCTACTTCTGCTTTGCAGGGTCTACTAGGTGCTCACTGGAGACACTATACATCCTTAGGTTTTTCTTAATTTCCTGGCTGCTGCTATGCTACTTATACCAGTGGGGATGCGCTTTGCTGAGTCAGTCTAGCCAGACATCAGTCTTTAAAGAATTTAAAGCCTTATAGTGCTATTGATGAAGTAACTGATTGAGAGGTGGTATTGATGGACCTTGCCAAAATTGAGACATGCAGACAGTATGTGGACCTCTAGAAAAGATGTTCCTCTAATTGTGAATGTTAAAAAGAGACTGTGTGAAGACCAGACAATGTAAGATCTAAAGAATAATTTAACTCTTGGTGCAGCGTTATACAGACCTCGTGGAAGTAAGGTGCTGGACTAGATGGGTCATTGGCATGATCCAGCAGCCTTCTCTTATGTTATTATGAAGGGCAATTAGCCCAACCCTTTACAGGATCTCAACGCATTTAACTCCCTTTCATTTCATAAAATATCCCCATGAGATTTGCCCTATCCCTAGCAGAGAGATGAGACTGCACAGTTAGGGTTTAGAAAAGAACTGAAATGACTCTGACCAAGGTACCCACTATTTTTCGCAAATAATTTGATTTGACGGGAAATTCCTTCCTGAAGCTGAATGTTGAAACAGGTTGCATCCCAGGTATGGAGGAAAAATCCCTCCTCTAACTAAATGAAAGAGTCATATCCTTCATAAATGCATCCACTGAAATTAATGAAGATCTTACCTACCACAATATTTTCCAAAATCAAACTTAAATTATTGTTTTTGTCTTGCAGGCCGGACCTGATAGACATGAATACCGTTGCTGTTCAAAGCAACCTTGCAAATTTAGAGCATGCTTTTTTTGTAGCAGAAAAACTTGGTGTTGCCAGACTTCTGGACCCCGAAGGTGAGCTAGTGAATGGAATCCTTAGTAGATCGTAGCATCAGACTGCATTGGAATTGTAACTCTCTAATGTATGTATGGTAGACATTAGCTGTGCCATGTCTTTTTTTAGATGTTGATGTCTCCTCGCCTGATGAGAAGTCAGTAATCACTTATGTGTCATCACTTTATGATGCATTTCCCAAAGTACCAGAAGGTGGTGAAGGCATCAGTGCACATGTAAGTAAAATATTAGCAATTACAAACTATGTTCACATACAAAACAAGCTTGTCATGGAGAAGGGTTAATTTCACTGGCAATTGTAAAGAAAAGAGGATATTATCTGATTGCTGGGATTTGGACATTCGAACCTGGCTTGGTAGTATGTGAGAAGTCTGTGCAGCTGATTTTACAATAGCGTCACCTTTTGTCGGTCATGTGCCTCCATCAGCAGTCTGACCACCACATTCTGCACCAGCTGGAGCTCCAAAACCAGGCTCAAGGGAAGCCCTACATAGAGTCCATTGCAGCAATCCTGCCCTGAGGTTACCAAGTACATAGACTACATTGGTCTGACCATCCCAGTGTAGGAACCGCCATAACTGGTGGATGTGATAAAGCTAAGGTGTTGCAGTGGGTCAGTGCATCTGGCTGTTAATCAGAAGGTTGGTGGTTTGAGCCTACCCAGGGACAGCTGTGGGCAGGATTCCTGCATCGCAAGGAGTTGGAATAGCTGACCTTTAGGTCAAAGGCACACCTAGTCACATGGGACACTTGTGTCTCTAGTGATAGAGATCTATCCAGGAGTACCTATTCACTTTCTCCTTTAGAGGGAGTGTGACTCTGTCCAGAACGAGCATGTTGTCCCATCTCTTAGACATGAGACCTACACACCCAAAGCACAGTTCATTGACCCCATAACATAGGTGCCAGCTCATAATACATGGTTGGTAGGGGCATGAAATGAATAGAAGCAAAGGAGAAATTATGGCTGGGCCTAAACATCGTATTCAGTGCAGCGATGGGAAGGAGATGGATATACAGATAAGGGAGATATGAAGAACTGGGGGTTGTGGGACGAAGAGCTAAAGAAGCATATGGCTGATGTAGAATCTGAATACTAAGAGTTGCATAGAAAGTGGATTGCGCTAGTTTTGAATTGTGGGCTTCTTCCATCACTGCAGCATTATGAGCAGGGAACTCAGTAGGAGCACGAAGGGCCAAGAGAGAGAGATGGCTATAGGATTCACTATCCTATTCTGAGTTGGCGTAGCGGCCCGTCAGATCTGTTGCTGTAGGCTTCCAGTGCTACAAAATGCTTTGATAGAACTTTATTCCTACTTGCTTGCTAGGATGTTGAAGTCAAGTGGGTTGAATACCAGAATATGGTGAACTACCTCATCCAGTGGATCAGGCACCATGCCACAATGATGACTGACAGAGCGTTTCCAAACAATCCTGTGGAACTCAAGGTAATGTTTAGATTATCAAGATACAGAATAAAGTACATTCTGTATTAATTCTTTTAGAGGGATCACCTACCTATTTAGAGCATGATTTACAAACTTCTATACAAATTAGTAACAGCTTACTTATATTCCCTTGCGTGCCACTGCTGGAGTACACAATATTGGGCTCAAAAATTCTCAGCTCTTTCCTTCAGATGCAGCCTGTCTCTTGTCCAGCTACAGCACTGATTCTTAGTCCAACCTTACTTATAGCCAGGAAACAATCCATGAATTCAGAAGAAAAGCATTGGTAGGGCTTTCCTGGGAGTGTGGGTGGTAGTGCAAGTTGCATAATTGAATGCTTCCCAGAACAAAAACATTCTGTTGATGGGAAGCTAGCATGTCAGAGAGAAGGCTAAGCCTTCTATTGATCATGTTAGTTTTATTAATTAAATGCATATATCCCCCTTCCTCCCAGAGAAACAGAGTTTGCCATAAACAGAGTTTTTACACAATGGGTAGTCAGCGATACAGCTATCTTCTGACCTTGTAGATTTTGACCCTCAATCACCCCATGCAGGTAAAAAGCTCGCCAGGTCTTGGCTAGTTACACATTGTAGCCTTTGGGCTCCTAGAAATTTGGGAAGAAGACACAGTCCAGTTGTACAGCTTCCATGTCAGTATTGAGCAGCACAGGGGATTCCCCTGGCTTGGAGGCACTGAGATGAAATTTTAACTGAGACTGTGCGATCCATTGCCCCATCTAACTCAAAGTTTGGGGTCTGGACTGTCAAGTCACATTCCGAAGAAAGAAATTGAACAGAATTCTGTGCCAGCTGCTGTTTTCTGGATTGAAACCATGAATGCCAGTGCTCGGAATAGTCAGTATTACATTTGAATTTAAGGCATGGGGATGCCAAGTGAAGGTTGAATTAGGCACTTGACATTTTAATTCTCCTCTTCCCATTGTAAATCTAAGAAGGGGTTTGGTTAGGATAGTGAGTAAACCCACACAAACCGGTTCCACACTTATGGGCATGAAAAGATTTTCAAAAGCTTCAGCAGACCAACAATTCAGAGTAAATAGTAAAACTATCTTTTAGAAACATGACAGCAATGCTTGTTTGTTTTTCTTTAGGCACTTTATAACCAATATTTACAATTTAAAGAAACAGAAATTCCACCAAAGGAGATAGAGAAATCAAAAATCAAACACCTATATAAATTACTGGAGGTAAGCCATTTTTTAAAAAATGTATTTTTGAATGCTGGTCTTGTTTCCTTTTATCCTGGCTTTATGTAATCATTCCTTGTTTTGAAGGTTTGGATAGAATTTGGGCGTATCAAGCTTCCTCAAGGTTACCACCCCAATGACATAGAGAAAGAGTGGGGGAAGCTAATTATTGCTATGTTGGAAAGAGAAAAAACACTCCGACCAGAAGTTGAAAGGTATGTTGGTATTTTTGTTTTACAAGCTTGCTTCTCTGCCTGCTCGTTTGAAAATGGCCAGTGCGGTAATTTGCGAAACGGACAAGGGCACTTTTATTAGAATACTTAAAATCAACTTTAGGTACATTGGCAAGTTAGAATCTTATTTGATAGGCTCAACCGTTTATTATAAGAAATCCATCCAAACCTAAGCTTAATTTTATTACTAGGGTCTGCACCCCTGCTTGCTCTGCTTGCTAACCCCACTGCCACTTCCCCCCACATTAACTTCCTAATCCACACAGCTGCTCAGTTTACTATTCACCTTCCCAACCCCATTTCTGAAGCCACTTCTTTGTTCTCTTCTGCAGTCCCTCTTTGCACTCCTGTTTTTACCTTTGCCCCCATGCCCATGTCTCCTCTCACCCTTTTGTGCAAGCCCCCTTGCATACAAAGTACCCCCCCCCCAATAATCTCCTACATTTCCTCTTCCCACACATTACTGCTAAGCACCCTTTCCATCTTCCGGCCAACTAAGAAGCCACTGTCCTCTCCTGCTCTGCAGATTCTTTCATGCCCTTGTTTACCTCTTCGCCCCATTCCGATGCCTCCTATTCCCTTCTTTTTTTTTGCAGCCCCTTGTGCATTCCCATTTTCACTTTCACTCTGTTTTTTTCTTCCACCTTCCTTCCGTTTTTCAATTCTTCTTTGCGCACAGATCACCCCCCCCCAACATAGCCATGAATTCCTGTTCTGCAGCCCCTTTGCACATCCCCACACCACTTTCACCTTCACCTTCTTTTTCCTCCATCCTTTTTCAACTCTCACTTGCATACAGACCACCTCTCTTTCCGTGTCTCTTCCTCTCCTAATCGGTAGCCCCTTTTTCACACACAACCCACCATGATATATGTTACTGTATCTTTAAGATGAGTAGATTAATAAGAGCAATCCTGTCAACTATTGAGATCAGGTGCCTCCACCGTACTCTTTTCTGTGCCTGTTAAAAACATGGTTGTTTAGACAAGCTTACCCAGATGCTTAGAAAGTTGAGGGGATTTTAATCCGTTTTAGTATTTTGTATGTTTTAAAGTTTGAGTGTGAGTTTTGATTTTCTTGTTTTATATTTTTGTAAACCGTTTTGAGGCTTTTCACAATCAAGCAGTGTATACAGTTCATGAAATTAAATAAATTAATTAACTTGTTTCGTTAGGCAGCCTTTCTCAGCCTTAGGTCTCTAGTCATTGTTGGACTACAACTCCCATCATTCCTAGCCATCATGAGCAGTGTTCAGGGATGATGGTAGTTGTAGTTCAAGAACATCTGAGGACTGAAAGTTGAGAAAGGCTGAGTTAGAGGATGCTAAGTTCAGCTGGTGGGTGTTATATATATGTGTGTGTTTTCTGAAAATAAAAAGCATTTCTTAATTACTACATTAAATCTGGAACTTCATGTTAAGGATAACGTGGTTGCAGGAGTGAAATGCATGACCGTGAGATTGCACCTTGTAATATTTGAGGGTTCCGCATCCTATCTATCTATCTATCTATCTATCTATCATCTTATCTATCACATGAGGCAATGGAGGAATGGAAGAGGGAGAAGGTTGAAAGTTTTCCCCCCTCCCTTTCAGTAACCTCCTCGCTCTATTCTAACAACCATAGAGGTTTGAGTAAAGTGGTTGTGGAGAGACACTGAGATGACAATTGTGGATTTAAACCAGGTATAGGCAAACTCGGCCCTACAGATGTTTTGAGACTACAGTTCCCATCATCCCTGACCACTGGTCCTGTTAGCTAGGGATGATGGGAGTTGTAGTCCCAAAACAGCTGGAGGGCTGAGTTTGCCTATGCCTGATTTAAACTATGGTAGAAGTTTAAGTAAAGCAAGTTTTGTAGTAGGAGACAAGCAGGGCTTTGCTCACGAGGATTTGCTGTGCAAGGGGTAAAAGCAGCATGGGAATGAAAAAACTAAGCCCTTTCCATCTCTTCTCAGTTGCAGCTTTCATCCTCCACTTGCTTTACAGAGGTTTCAGTGGTGATGGAGGGAAGAAGGACTTGTACTTAAGAAAGTTGAGGCTGTGTATTAAGAGAACTGTATTTGCCTTAGTGTGTGGGAGAGGAGAAAATGCCAGTCCCTAAGAGTAAATCTAGTCTTATAAATGATGGAGGATGTGCATGTAGGCTATACTTGCTAAGTCAATTTCAATATAAAATGGGCTTCCCAAATGATCAATTGCTTCCCATTGTTCATATAAGCAGTTTGGGATCCCATTTTCCAAATGTTTTTTCATTGTGATAAAGCCCTTTCATTGTGACTGGAACACAATAGTTTTCACATTATATACCGGTAAATATTAGGTCTCTTTCACAAATCTTCTTGACCTAACAAAAGTGGTGCTGAAGTCAATAGATAGGGAGCTGACATGTCACAGGATCATATAGCAATAAGTTCATAGTATACTTTAATGCAGATATGGATCACAGGCAACCATGCACCCGGAGTTAACACGGGTAGTTACATGCTATTCAGCAGTCAGTATGATTTTTTCCCGCCAAGCATGCAAGGGCCAAATAGCAAGCCAGCACAGTCTTTTAAGGAAAAGCTCAACTTGTTTATAGCTTCAAGCAGCAATGGCGTGATATGGGTGGGGTTTTATAGAACATGAAATGATTGAATAATAGGAGTAAGAGAAGATAGTGTGTGCAGGCATCATCCTTGAGGGTTAACAGAGGAAGATCCCAGCTGCTCATTTACCATTTGAAACATGAATAAGAATTGAGATTTTCTGTGAGCTGAAAGCTAAAGAATGCCATTGGATTTCATTTTTGACATTAACATGATTACTGATTGCCAGGAGGAGGTAAAATACATATACCAACTTTGGCAAACATTCTGAATTACACACACAAACAACCCATAGTGATGAAGCAGTCCAAATAATTGATTCACTGTCACCTTTTAAACCACAGTATCTCCATTAAATTCAACAAAGTGGCATCAATATGGCAAGGCAGGCACTAATTTTCCTATTTAGAAGATAATAATTAATCTTAATATTTTGACCTGATTTTTTTAAATTAATAAATGCATGTTGTATGTACTTAAAGTGAACAAACCACACATACTTCATTTTAGTTCTTTCCAACGGGGGCTATGTATAGTTTTAAGAGGCACATGGCCAGAGCATAAGCTTTAATACTGTTTATAGCAAATGTTTAGACTGCTGTGTATGGGGCCAATGTATGTTTTGGGAGCAGTATTTCTGAAGCAAAGTGGGTATGGACCTGGATGAGAAACTACTGAAAAACCTATGCTAAGTGTAGGGAGACTAAAGGTTGTGAAACTGTTGAAGGGGAGTTCCCTCCCCACTCCTCAAATCGTTTAGTTTGTTGAAATTGGATGAGCCTTACATAAAATATTTGGCATCCCTCTTTCCGAGTGAACACCCTAATCATTCTGATTAGTCCATACTTGCACAGGCAATTCAAGCTACAAAAGCCAAGCCCACATTGGCATATATAGCTGAAGGCGAAGTCTTCTGAAGAGGAATGAGAATGTTACTTGCAGGGCTTTGAATATGCATGCTGAGACCTATTTAAGGATGCAGAGTTTGGTTTTTGTCCTTAAAGCCATCTAGTCCCTGGAAGCTGTATGTTTTTGCAGGCATTTTGTCTTCACAACATTTTAAATGACCAGCGGGATAGCTTTCCGGGCGTAAAAAAATGAATGCGAACAGTTACGGCTACCACAGCAGTGACTCTGTATTTAGTAACAGCACTAGCACCCGGACCAGCATTGATTCCAATGAAAACTTCTTGTCTGTTAACTGTGGTCCTACCCTTGTTAATTCTTGTATAAGCTTTGGCAATGGTCCCAAGGAAGGAACCAGGTAAGTGCTGGTATTATTCTGCAGAATGTGGTGCGTTTTTATCTGGTAGCAGAATCGAGATGTTAATGACCAGCCCCATGTGATTTGTCTTAACTTCTGACTTCTTTTAGGTTAGAAATGCTGCAGCAGATTGCAAACAGAATTCAGCGAGACAGCCTGGGCTGCGAAGACAAACTAATTCTTGCTCGAAATGCTGTGCAATCAGTAAGTGTATTTGGATAGCTAGTTTCCTGTCTTCTTATCTGTATATAAAAAACCCCCAGCATAGACCACTGGATAAAGGGGTGGAGTTGGAGCTGCAAAATCTGGATTAAAATTCTTGCACAGACATGTACTTCCTGGGTGACCAGTACCAAATCACCATCTGTTGGCTTGATGTCTTCTGTTTGTATAATTGGAATTACCACAATGTCTCTTGGAGTTGTGAGGACGAGAAGAATACCTCTTTGTTGGTTGGCAGGAGCTAGAACATACTGGGATATCCTAGAAAAGCATGCAACTTATTTCCTCAGTCGTGTAAAATGGAGGTGGAAGCTGATGTTAATAAGTGGCTGACAAAATGGACAGGGTTAAAGAATGTTAAATGTTTTAAATTCATACACTTGTTGGGTTCCAAGGTGATTTGTTTTTAGAGTGGAGAATGTAAGTTCACAGCCTCACTTGAGAATAGCATCTGTTTCCACCCTGCGAATACTAAGGGTGGAGACAATTCTTAGGAAGAAGACAGGTGCTATAATTTTGCAAGCAAAGTTTGTGAAAATGATTAAAAGTGCATGTATGCTTTTAGGCAATATTCTCCAAGTCCTAGGTTTTAGAGGGGTCAGTCTGTAAATCCAGGAGTTTTCTGTTCCTTGTAGTATCCAAGAATTGGATGGTTTTTAAAATAAAAATATTAATGAGTTTGTAAGAATGTGGTCGTCTGCATGGAAATGTCATGCGGCAGGTTAATAAAGCTTGTGGTTGTGGTGGAGGATGACTTACAATTTCTAGAATGGGTGCAAAGGTTATGTCCCTAACAATGCTGCCTATGGCTTAGACCCTTGAGGATACTAAAAAGGAACTCCACAAAATGCTATCAGTCCTTTGTTACATTATTGTAACTCCAACCATTGCATCAGCTGTAGTTATCTTAGGGCAAATGCCATAAGCAAAAACAGACTGTCTGGCAAACCTGTTCAGTAAAAAGAATATTGCCTGCAAGACTTTGCAAGTCTTTTTCCAACAATCGTTATTATCACCATATATTCCCTTTGACTCTGCCGAGTCTTGACTTCCCTCCCTCCCTGCAGTTGGTATATTCATCACATTTGTAACCATTTTTGAAAGCACTTCAGCCATAACAAAGAGAAAGCTTAATCAACCTTGTGGAAGGCATTTTAATGTTGAAACCACTCAGAATGGGAAATTTTTCCAACAGAAAAAAGTCTGATCCTGGGACGCTTGAAGTCTTTCACTTTGCTGTAAACTCTCTCAATTCTCATCATTCTGAAGACTATCACCTTAGTTTCCAATAACTGTCTTGAAATCTAGAGTTGTTACTGATGAAAGCAAAAGCTAAAATGTTTAATATTTTAAGTGTCACAATCTTCACACACACACACACACACATAGAGAGAGAGAGCGTGCACGTAATGGGTTAAGGAAGTGGCAGATTATAGGTTTTTACACATGAACATTGGTTTAGCTGTCTAAATATCATTGCCACCTTATTTTGCTGCACACACTGGACGAAGCATGCTGTTTTATGGATATATAAAAATGTGGATTGGTAGCCAAAAAACCCCCAAGTATCTGGGAGGTATCTGACTGTCATACTCAGATTAGATCGATTGAAACAATGGACTAACTTAAGTCCGCTGATCTTAATGAGTTTATTCGGAATATGATTTAGTTGGTCATCACTGTGATAATGTGACTTTCACCTTGGGTTTATCTTACCATGTACGTTAATCCACAGATAAACATTGTAAAGCATGTCTGAATAAAGATAACTATTGTAAACTATTGTAACTGTTGTAAATTTCAGAATGGTACAAAATATTCCATGTATATTATATAGAGTTTCTTCTCCAGTTAACTGCATGGTTAAATTTAATTTGTATTTTTAACACAGGATGCAAAGCGATTAGAATCAGGTCTGCAGTTCCAGAATGAAGCTGAGATCGCCGGTTATCTACTTGAATGTGAGAATCTGCTGCGTCAACAAGTCTTGGATGCCCAGATTCTTATTGATGGAAAATATTATCAGGCAGATCAGCTGGTCCAGAGGTTTGTGCATTTATGTTATGTAGAAATATGAGCTTATGTGAATATATGCTTAAGAATTTATTCTCTAGCCTGTGAAAGCCCCTTTTCTTTCTTTTTTTGATGCAGAGTAAGCTGTGTAGACAAATGACAATACTTAGTTGTAACAAGCTCTACCCTCACCTGAGTTATATATTTTTCTTTACTTTTACTAGTTTATTTTGGGGGTTTTTTCCTTTTCAGAATTGAAAATTAATGAGATGATGTTATTATGCTATTGATAAATTAAATAACATGTAAAAAGAAAGAAATAGGTGCATTCATTTTATGTCCTATCAGTAGCTATGCAAAAGCGTGATGAAGGCTGCAGCTGGTAATATCTGCAATTTTAACAGAAATACACTAAAAGTAAAAGGATGTCCACATACACCAGAAATTTCAGTCTCCCAGATGTAACTAAAATGGTCCTGAACTAGATAACTTAAATGGCATGGCAATATGGCAAAACCTTTTTCCTCTGTAGATTGTGGCTTGGCTACCTGGATCCTTAGACTAAACGGCTTATTGGAATTTGCAAGCATCTCTGACTTGTAGTTTATGTCTAAGCTTTATTTTCATTTTAGCTTAACTGTAGCTTGCCATGTTGTCTAACCTGAACTGCCGCTAAACTGAAATCCAGCTAGTGGAAACAAGCCAATTTCAAACCACACATTTTTTCCCCTAACCATAGTTAAGAGTAACCACAGTTTGGTTACACACTAAACTGCAGTTAATCCAAAACTGGAAGTGGAAGCTTCCAGTCTGCCATGCATGACCAAGCTAGAAAGAAGAGAGAAAAGGGAGAGTGCATAAGCCCAGGTGGAGGCTAGCCTTGTTGTCATGGAACATCAGCCCATTTCAATATAGCCATAGTATGCAACTTCTTAGTGCACTAGCATGATCTCCTATATCCTATATCCTTGGCTATATTTATACAGTGCTGATGCTTTGAAATATTGCCAGTTGTTCTCCCCACATCCCACAGTAATATCTATGCCCATAAATGATTGTCAAACGCAGGCATTTAAGTATCTGTCTCTTTAAAGTGGTGTAGTGGTTAAGAGCGGTAGACTTGTAATCTGGTGAACCGGGTTTGCTTCCCCACTCCTCCACATGCAGCTGCTGGGTGACCTTGGGCCAGTCACACTTCTCTGAAGTCTCTCAGCCCCACTCACCTCACAGAGTGTTTGTTGTGGGGGAGGAAGGGAAAGGAGAATGTAAGCCGCTTTGAGACTCCTTCGGGTAGTCATAAAGCAGGATATCAAATTCAAACTACTACTACTACTACTACTACTACTACTACTCTTCTTCTTCTTCTTCTTCTTCTTCTTCTTCTTCTTCTTCTTCTTCTTCTTCTTCTTCTTCTCCCTGCTAATGCACAGAAAAACTTTTCCAAAGCTGAATTTTCTCTAAATTTGTCCCATTGAGCTCAATGTGATCGAGCAAGTTTTCACACTTCTTTGGTCCATCTGCTCCCACGGATACATTCACATGCAAAAATGTATTGTAGAAGCTGCATACTCCAAAGATACAGCCCATGAGCTGAGGCGAGGCAGTTGCAGGTCAGGTGGCAGATCTGGGGCCTGAGGAGTGCGCTGTGCCCCTGCCTCCACCACTGCCACGCCCCTACGGCTGGTGCGTGCTGTTGCAGTGGCCGTCTTTCCTGCTGCTGTTTGTTAAGGTTGCTGTGAAGTGGGTGCACTTAGAGCAAAGGGCCTAACTTGGCAACAATGGCAGCAATATAGGGCATGCCCAGCAGTGGGGTGTGTGACAGCAGCGTGGCATGTCCATGGAGGAAGAGGAGGGGGCATGGCATGCCCGTGGCAGAGGAGGCTGAGGGGCGGTGGTTGTTTGTTTGGAGGTTTTTTTGCCTCAAGCACCAATACCTCCTGGGTCAGCCCTGACCCCCACAGCTTCTCTGGGGAGAGTCTTGCTACTGTAATAGACTGAACACTTTCCATCTTGATTGTGGAAATCACTACTGATTGAGGAGGATCCACAGAGAATCCAGTTCACAATAGATATTCTTTTTGTGCCTACGTTTAAAGAGACGCTTGGGAAGCATCACACAGAGACAAAATGGATCCCTTCAATTTTCTCTTACCTTATAATAGTTGTGTTTGAGGCTACAGTTGTTACAACAGTACTGTATATTACTTTAATCCTTACATTCTATTCTTAAAGAGGAGGATGAGTTTGATCCTGTCTCTGCCTTTCCCAGAGGCACTACTTTTCATTATGATGGCTTTATTATGCCCAGACACACACTATTACTTGGCACATTACCATCTAGCTCCATTGCACTTTAAAATTCCTAATATATCTATCAGTTTATCATCAAGGTTTACCGGAATGTGTGGATTGAACTCTTAATAACAACCCTCTCCTTTTTTATTTTACACAAAATACAAGATAGTATCATTATTCTTTGTTTTTGAAATGATGAGAATTCTTGAAAATCCCGAGACGATATCCAGATCTTTTCACTTCTACAGTAAATGCTTTTCTGGTTTTTGAAACAGGGTTGCAAAACTGCGAGATGACCTTATGGCCTTAAGAGCAGAGTGCTCCTCAATCTACAGCAAGGGGAGGACACTGACTACAGAACAGACCAAGATGATGATATCAGGAATAACACAAAGCTTAAACTCAGGATTTGCACCAAACTTCAGCCCCAGCTTAAACTCTGGACTGAGCCAGGGCTTATCACCCTCCTTGACATCATCGAGTCTAACATCAGGATTATCATCGGGTCTTTCTTCAAGAATGACTCCAACCATCACCCCAGCATACACCCCAGGTTTCCCACCACGGTTAATTCAAAGCTACATAACAGGAGTTGACTCTGGTGCACTGCAAACACTCAAATTGATGCAGATCCGAAAACCTCTGATGAAATCGGCATTTATCGATCAGAATTTAACAGAGGAGGAAGTCAACATGAAGTTTGTTCAGGATCTTCTCAGATGGGTAGATGAAATGCAGGTAACATCTTTACATGTACATTTTTTTAAAATTTTCAGTCTGTGCCTGATCATTTTCCTCACCTGCTTGAGGGCTCGACTTTAATTTTCAACTTCTGCTTTCAAGGTGCAACTTGATCGAGCTGAATGGGGTTCGGATTTGCCAAGCGTTGAAAGCCATTTAGAAAATCACAAGAATGTCCACAAAGCTATTGAAGAATTTGAATCAAGCCTTAAAGAAGCAAAAATCAGTGAGGTACAGCTTTGGGGGTGGGGAGTGTTGTGGTTATATTAAGTGTGCAGGGATTTTGTATATTAAGCAGCATATAAAAATTAGGAATATACCCCACATATACACATGTGTGCAATGTGCTTCATATATATATATATATATATATGCAGGTTTTGGTGTCCTCGGGTGTCTTCCCGTGTAAAAGTTGGGGTGTCTAGGCGACGTTTCGACGAGGTCTCACTCGTCATCTTCAGGCTGGTGCTTTCGGCTTCTTGTTACTGGAACAGAGCAGGATCTCAGTGTTTGAGTTCCTATAAAGCCGAAAGCACCAGCCTGAAGATGACGAGTGAGACCTCGTCGAAACGTCGCCTAGACACCCCAACTTTTACACGGGAAGACACCCGAGGACACCAAAACCTGCATTCCTGTACCCGTGAAAATCTACGAAAGCAAATATATATATATATATATATATATATATATATATTCATTCTTTGAACCAATTTGTTCTTTACAGATCCAGATGACTGCTCCCCTTAAACTCAGCTATGCAGACAAATTGCACAAACTGGAGAGCCAATATGCAAAACTCTTGGTAAGATTGCTGATTGGCAGTCCCACTTTTTATTTGGATGCCACTTTGATGACAAAAGGTTTGAAATAAAAAAAATTGATTTCTTTTACTATCTTTTTCAAGAACACCTCAAGAAATCAGGAAAGACACCTTGATACCCTTCACAATTTTGTATCTCGCGCTACCAGAGAACTCATATGGTTGAATGAGAAAGAAGAGGAGGAGGTTGCATATGACTGGAGTGAAAGAAATACAAATATAGCACGGAAGAAGGACTACCATGCAGTAAGCATTGTTAAAATAGTCAAAAATAAGTATTGAATGTGACCTTTCTTTTTTATTTGCTCCTGGCTTCTAAAGCTAATTGTCTTTTTATTTGGAAGGAACTGATGAGAGAACTTGATCAGAAGGAAGAAATTATCAAATCTGTTCAGGAAATAGCAGAACAATTGCTATTTGAAAACCACCCTGCAAGGCTAACTATTGAGGTAGGTTGTTAAACATAACTTAGGAATAGAAACAGAGTCTCTCAAGGCTCTTTTTATGGGCTGCTGAAACAGAATATAGACTTGTTTTCTGGGTGCAGTCTGTAGTCCCCATGCTTCATTTCCAGAAAATGTTCAGTAAAATAAGACTTTTTGATTTCACAGTCAGGCTCTACATAGACATGTTATAAACCCACTGCCCCAATTGTACATCGGGGAGGGGGTTATTGGTTGGTTGGCTTTGCTCTTGTTTTTGATCATGTATTTTGTGCTTTTATATTGAAGGGTGGTATACTGTGCAACGTTAATAATAATAATAATACTGGAAAAATGAGAAATTGAGAGAAACTGAAACAGACAGATTCATCAATCCCTACATGCATTTGTTGCAGTGTATTGTAGTTCACAAAAGCTTATGTCAGAACAAATGTGTTTATCTTTAAAGTACAACAGCATACACTTAATTTTGACATGACATGATAATGGCATGAAATAAATGGAACCACCACAAAATGTAGCACTTGTGGAGGGCTGCTTTTCCAAGGGCTGGCCAGCCATACATTCTTGCCAGTTCCCGTGTCCAGCCAGCCAACCATACCCTGTTGAGAGATACTTCATTTCTTTCCATTCCTATCCTTCTCCTCCTTGGCCCCATCCCAGATTTCTGTTGTTAATGCTTTTGTCCATCAGATGCTCAGCCTTAGACACTTTACTGAGAGCTATGTTACATCAGTTCCCATTAATATTCCAGTGAGGCTGAGTTTTGTAACCTGTGACAGGGCAGTGGTTCTGTCTTTTCATTTGACAGGGAACTTCTGGGCCTTTCTTACGTGCAAAGGTTTCATTACATTGCTTCCATTTAAGGTGTGAAGTTCAGGCACTTGCTGTTGCTCATAAACTCCAGATATTGTTTGGACATTGAATTTATTTCAGACTGGCATCATGTCGTGTGCCTACAATGTGTGACTTGATTCTAGTCCAAAATGTGTCTAACGTCCAAACAACACCTGGAAATTTATGAGTGCTTCTGTTTTGGTTTTAAAATACATGCTAACTACCACAGGTGCCTTTAGACTTCCAAATGTGATCACGCAGTTGTCAGTTAGGAAACTAGGGTGTGTATAAAGCGGATAATCATGCAAGGTTTGTTCTCTGAAGCAATAAGGCTTTTATGCAAGAAGATAAGCCCAATGGTATTTTCAGACTATTAAGCAGTACTGTTGGGGCTGATGTTGCAGGGGTTGTTTCTATGTAAATTAATACTAGATATATCCTCTTGGTACCTCCTAAAAAGTTTGTATTTATAGACAAATTCAGACTGCTTTCAGATGTCACAATGCACCATCATTTATCTAGAGAAGGAACTAGCTGGAACAAATCTTGGACCCACACACTTCCTCTTCCACCTTTGCTGCAGCTGTGAGGAGATTGGAAACTTTCTCATTTGATTAACCACAATTTAGTCTGATGTCTGAGCCCTAGACGGAAGTTAACTTTTAACTATGGTTTGTTGAAATAAGGTAGCTTGATGGCTCCATGGTTTGTGCTCGACTTGTTTCAAACAAGCCATGGAAAAGGTTAGCTCCAGGTGGAACAACAAGCTGCAAGTAATCAAAAAAAAGAAGCGAACGCTTTCAGAAATCTTCTTGCAGTTGCAGCAGAGGAGGAGAGGTGAGGTGGGAGCATGTGAGTCTGAGTCTTTATTGTGGCTTGTTTTCATAATGATAGAACAGATCAATTTCACTATCTGTAGGGTATTTAGAAAATTGAGTTGAAATTTGTCTTCTAACAGAGAACAATACTGGTTTCCATGGGAGATGCTTGGGGAGAATTCTAAATCTACAGTATTTAGAGCAGCCTCTGCTGGCCAACAGTATTATTGTTCTACCATAGCAGGGATAGAGCAAATACTGCATTCAAGAAATTCAAGTTATAAATGGCAGTTATTCTAATAAGTAAATTGTTCAGAGAGTTTTATTGCTTTTTGTAGAGAAATGCACTTGATATTTTCGGAGGCTGGTATGATTTCTTTTCCTACTGTTATAACAAGTCGAAGACATTTGAGTAGGAAAATTGGGCAGGGCAGGGGCTTCAATTCCTCAAATCTCCCCCCTTCCTCATTTGAATTGCTTCTGTTGCACAGCAAAACATGACTTCTTTCCTCTGCTTGTATCCCTAAGGCCTACCGAGCTGCAATGCAAACACAGTGGAGCTGGATTTTGCAGCTTTGCCAATGTGTTGAACAGCATCTGAGAGAAAACACTGCATATTTTGAGGTACGTAACACATGGGTATTATTGTAGAGTAACCACAGATTTAACTCTTAACAGCAGCAAGAAGAAAAGGATTTTTAAATGCTTTTTTATGCATATTGACCCTCAGTAAATCTAAAGCTGAATTTTCACATTTCACAGGACTTCCTATTTTACTGCTGCAGATGTCTGTAAAAAGTGCTGCTCTGTTTTTATTATGAGTTTTGTTGCATATTTTTTCAGAGTGGATGTGAACCAAAGGGCGTAAGCTACTTTTTTCCACACCAATATTTTCATGTGGTTCAAATGGGCCAAGAAATTGAGTAACCTTTCCCACTTGATTTTAGAAGCAATTATTATTTTGCTGCATGTTCTGAATTCTCCATTCAAACAATACAAACCACACCGCAATCATCAATGAGGAAAAACATCTGTGAGTGGGGGGAGAGGGACAGGAAAGGGAAGAAGAAACTTACCCAGGTTGCACTGGAAAGAAAGTCCTTGTACAGGAATTATTCTTTTTCCCAACTGCAAAGAAGTAATGCATATACAGATCATTAAAAGGGTACCCAGTTAACTTCATAAGTATCTAGTAGGCATTGCAGACATTTGTAAGCAGCATGTTTGAAGGCAGAGAGAGTTGTTAACTTTGCAGCCCAGTGGGTAAAGAGGACTGGTGGTTTTATCCCCTTTGGTGCTGGAGTACCCTGGGGTGAATGGGCTCATTTAGTTTTCTAACTGATTTTAGAAACTTATGTCTCCTTCATCTAATAAGAAAGTATACCACACTCTTGGATTATCAGCCTGGGCTTCAGACTGCTGTACTGACTACTCGCTTGAGGACAGAGCTTGCAATGGTGTATTTTTTAAATCAAAAGTGTGTTTTTTTTATTTTAGTTTTTCAACGATGCCAAAGAGGCCATAGATTACTTGAAGAATTTAAGAGATGCTGTTCATCGAAAATACAGCTGTGATAGGTCCAGCAGTATTCATAAACTGGAAGATCTGATCCAAGAGTCGATGGTAGGTATCTTCCATACATACTCGGCTAAAGCATACATACTCGATGTGCTCTACTAGCAGAGTACTAAAGGTAGACAGTTAACCCAAAAGTAAAGGAAATCTCATCACAAATTGTTCTTTCTTAAGGGGAACTAATCTTATCACCATTATTTTCACAATTCTGGCTTCAAAAATAATAATTCAAGAAGCTCATTATCTTAAACAATGTCAGTGAAATATATGGATGAGATGTTTCTCATAATTCCTGATGACCATTTTTGGCAGTATTCTGTACCTTTCTGTTTCCACCACTGAAGAAGAGCAGTAATTGCAGCTCTTGACTGATTTGGGGCTTTTGGACAACCTATAGACTGGCTTTTAGTGTCAACAGATTGCACAGTGGCCACAAGCCAGTAAACTGATTAGGACATGCCCAGATATAGAAACTATCCTGTTCTTTTTTTTATTATTATTATTAGCCACTGGCTAACAGCCAGGGAACATCTTCAGCTTGCAGAGCATGAAGTTACATAAAATAAAAATGTAATCCTCTTCACAAACAGAATCTTAGGTCAGGGACATGAATTTTTACCACTGTTTCTCAATGTGATTGGTAAGCAGTGCACAGGAATTAAGCTCTGCCCCTCATAGCCCTTACTATTGAAAATGGGACATACATTGCTGCCCCCAACTATTTCTTGGTGAATTACACAAATGGACCATCGCCGTCTAGAGCTGTTGACCTAATAAACAATGGTGGTTAGAGAGTACTAATAGCACCATAGATGCCATTCTGGTTTATGTGAACAATGCTTTGTACGATATCACAAACATCAGAAAATATATTTTTAAGTTTCAAAGAAGAACACATTTAATTTGCAGCTGCTTCTAATGTTTCCCCTCCTCTTGTTTTCTTTATAAATTGGCTTTTAGGAAGAGAAAGAACAGCTCCTGCAGTACAAGAACACAGTGGCTGGCCTTGTGGGGAGAGCAAAGACAATAGTTCAGCTGAAGCCGAGGAATCCAGATAATCCACTGAAAACATCCATCCCAATCAAAGCCATCTGTGACTATAGACAAATTGAGGTTGGAACCTTAGATTTCTTCAAATCAATTATGGGCAGTTAATGGCATGTTCTTGGAATTCTCTTCCCTATCAAACGAAACAAGTCCCTGCCTTCCCAATTGGGGCTTAAGTTGTTGGGTCCTGCCCCCCCCCAGCCCCCAATTTTGCTCCCCTGTCACTTTCCTAGTGGCACATGTTCAAGGGAGTGCGCTGTAAGAACAATATATGTATATTAGACTCATTCAGATTTTCTGATCTTTCTGTTGAAAACCAGATAACCATTTACAGAGATGATGAATGTGTACTGGCAAGCAACTCCCATCGGGCAAAATGGAAAGTGATTAGTCCAAGCGGTAATGAGGCCATGGTTCCCTCCGTCTGTTTTACTGTTCCTCCACCCAACAAAGAAGCAATAGACACTGCAAACAGGTAAGTGCTGGCATAGCGTGCACAAAACATGGAAATCCTTATTGATCTTATTTGCCTTCCAGGAGCTTTTCTATGCACAGCGTACAGGAAATTTATAACATGTACCCTTTCGACTGCCACTTGACAAATCATTAATTTAGACTCGGTCATTCCCCACCCCCTCTTTGTGCATTTCAGAATTGAACAGCAATATCAGAATGTCCTGGCCCTGTGGCATGAATCACATGTAAACATGAAGAGTGTGGTCTCCTGGCACTATTTGACAAATGAAATTGAAACTGTTCGAGCCAGTAATGTTGCTTCGGTAAGTTCTGTGCCTGTTCCAGCACTCATAACAAAATATACCTAGCCTAATATTCCATGATTCGAAAGCAGTTATCTGTAGTGGCTAAAGCTGAGTGTAGCCACACACAGTTCCTGAATATTTGGTTCTGTAACGTGCCGTATTCCTGTGTTATATCTGTGCAACAACAGTTTGCTGGTTGCATTCAGAAGCTACAACCTTCCTTTATGGCATGATTGGCTAAGATTGTGGGAAGCTCCATGTTTTCCATAGTGGGCATCATTGCTGAAGGTATGTCAGTGTTGTATTGGTGTTTCTTATACTAAGAACTTAAAATGTGCATATGTCAATGTCTGTAAACACCCAGCGCATGTTGTGTGGTCTCATTGGAGTGTCCAGGACATTTATGTGGGTTTTTGACTTGTATGTATTTGAAAGTTGCTCATTGAAATGAGTCATTGCAATTGACTTTTCTTCTAGTTACTAAAGAGCAATTCCTCTACAGGCATCTTCTGATGTGCTGCCCTCACAAAGCAACATGTGTATTACCTTTTTGGAACATTAAAATACTGCCTTAAGAAACTGACAAAACAGTATGTGCTTTATAAAATGGTGCCCAACATTAGAAAGACTTTAATTACCCCTCCTGATTTTTAATATTTCCTAGATAAAGACACTCTTGCCAGGTGAACACCAGCAGGTTTTAAGCAACTTGCAGTCCCGCTTTGATGACTTCCTTGAAGACAGCCAGGAGTCCAAAGCCTTTTCAGTTGCTGACATTGCTCAGCTGGAAAGGGAGGTGAATGTGTGCAAGCAGTACTACCAAGAGCTCCTTAAGTCTGCAGAGAGAGGTAAATATAGCACATCAACTGTGCAGAAGTCTCCCATACAAGATGCTTATGGTATTGACTACCCTTTCAATGTTACATATGTGAACTATACTGCTGTGGCTCTTTCACAGCGGTGCTCATTTCAGAAGCAGAGAGGGAAATAGATACCAGTGGAAGACGTGAGTTGGGAAAGTCCAAAGGCCCATTCTTTTTAACAGTGTCAAATGGAAAAAATGAGCAGCTTGCATGAGTATTTGTTATTTTTTCTACAGTTGCTGCTGCAGTGTTGTCAAAACAGACACACACTTTGGCATGTATGCTTTTGGCATGAATATGTAGTAAAAAGGTAAAGGGACCCCTGACCATTAGGTCCAGTCGTGACCGACTCTGGGGTTGCAGGGCTCATCTTGCTTTATTGGCCGAGGGAGCCGGCGTACAGCTTCCGGGTCATGTGGCCAGCAGGACTAAGCCACTTCTGGTGAACCAGAGCAGCACACGGAAATGCCGTTTACTTTCCCGCCGGAGCGGTACCTATTTATCTACTTGCACTTTGATGTGCTTTCGAACTGCTAGGTTGGCAGGAGCAGGGACTGAGCAACGGGAGCTCACCCCGTTGCAGGGATTTGAACCGCCGACCTTCTGATTGGCAAGTCCTAGGCTCTGTGGTTTAACCCACAGCACGTAAGCAGTTACATAGGTCTAACAGTGAGCACTCAGAGCCAGTTCAGACATTAAGATGTTGCTTTTCAAATAGCAGAAGAGGAAGTGCGATATTCTGTGTCCCGCGTCCCACATGGTCAGCTGACTGTAACTCTCTATACTTGTTTTGTGTCTGTTTGAAATCAGTGAGCTGTCATTAACACAGATGCTCCTGAGAAAATCACTTATAAAACGGGAAGGAAAAAGAAGAGCTGATCTCCCCATGACTCCCCTTCTGTTTGTTTTGTTGTTCATAACACTCAGAACTGATTCAACTATTGAAATGTTATATTACAGATAAAAGAACTTGTGCCCCTGCATAATTGCTGAAAATGTAATATGCATTTTACTGGCACACAATCTGAGATCTCAATTGGGTTCCTAAAATGAGCTGGTAATAATTTGTGTGAGTAAATAGAACAATTATTTTGGCAGGTTGCACAATAAGAGGAAGAACATCTGTTACTGTTACACACAAATGTACAAGGAACATATTTTTCCTCTCAAAATAAAACACCAGGAGTATCATACCACATCACTTACATTTGTTTACTTACTCTCCTTAAAAAATAAATAAATCTGCAAGTATGTCATAAATGGACCCTATATCCTTTGGAAAAACAGTATCTGCTTAAAAAAAAAGTCTTTGAAGTTCTTCCTTGCTGTTGTAAATATTCCATCTCCATTCTGAAAATATATGATATCACTGAGCCTTAAATGCTTCCATAAAGCTGAATAGATGTATTATATTATGCATTCAGGCTGATGCTGATATAGAAAGGAATGCAATAACAGATGAAAGCTGATTAAAGTAAATATATAAGTACGGAGCAGAGATATACTGTGCTTGACTGTATCTGGAGAAAATGATAAGGGATTCATTTCTATAGATTTAATACCATCTTATTATGAAATCATCTCTGGACGAACCATAAACAATCCAATTAATCACTGTGCATACACATATGGGATGATAATACCTATGACTAAAGTGATGTGCATATTAGTTTTTTAGGGGATGCCCATATTTAGACATGATGATGATGATACATGGCAAGCAAGAAGTTGATTTTGTGTCCTGCTGTTATAATGTTTACATTTCTCCACTTAAGAAGATGCTCAAGGTGACCCCAATTTGTGAACTTCCACATTTCCCCTTGGGGAGAAAATCTGTTTGAAATGAGGGGGGGCAGTTTGCTAGATTTGTTTATGCTTGTTATTGCAAATGTACAGAGGTACCTTTGAAATATGATTGGCTGGGGAAATTGTGGGTCTAAATTAAAAACAATCTGAAAATTTTCAAATGCATTCAAACTGGTTATTAAAATATATCTTTTTTTGTGGTAAAGAACATTCTTTACTGGCTTTTGACCAATCTGAATGGTGAAACTACATAGTGGGCAATATTCTGCCTGTTTAAAATGTATATTATTTTATGGAAAGGTGAGTTTTATATTACAGTGGTACCCCGCAAGACGAACGCCTCGCGAGACGAAAAACTCGCAAAACGAAAGGTTTTTTTGTTTTCGAGTTGCCTCGCAAGACGAATTTCCCTATGGGCTTGCATCGCAAAACGAAGCTTGCCCCGGGGACAGCGGGTCTTCTCTTTTGAAGCAAGGGGCGGCGGGGAGATCGCTTCTCCCCACCGCCCCTTGCTTCAAAAGAGGTCTGCCCCCGGACCTCTTTTGAAGCAAGGGGCTGCGGGGAGATCGCTTCTCCCGGTGCTCCGAAGCGGGGTGGGGGGACGGGAACACCTGCCCCAGCCGCCGGGCTTCGTAGCGCTGCTGCGAAGCCGGGTGGGGGGCGGGAACACCTGCCCCAGCCGCCGGGCTTCGTAGCGCTGCTGTGAAGCCGGGCGGGGGGGGGGGCGGGAACACCTTCTGAAGGCGGGCGGGGGGCGAAAGTCTTTGTCCCCCCTGCCTGCCTTCCCAGGGGCTTTTAAATCACCCCGGACAGCGGAGAAGTCCTCCGCTGTCCCGGGGCGATTTTAAAATGCTGCCCGCCAGCATTTTAAGATCGCCCGGACAGCGGAGAAGTCCTCCGCTGTCCCAGGGTTTTTTAAAATGCTGGGGGTGGGAAGAAAAGCCCTTGTCCCCCCCCCCAGCCTTCAGAAGAGGTCCGGGGACAGTCTGTCCCCGGACCTGGTCTGAAGGCGGTTTCCCTAGGAATGCATTAATTGATTTTCAATGCATTCCTATGGGAAACCGTGCATCGCAAGACGAAAAAACCGCAAGACGAAGAGACTTGCGGAACGAATTAATTTCGTCTTGCGAGGCACCACTGTATTTATTTATTGAATTTATATACTGCCCTACACCTGCAGGTCTCACTATAAGTGGAGTGTAAGTTTCAGTTTTTGTATATTTTAATAGTTGTAGCAAACATATTAGTTTTTAAAAAAAGAGAGATGGAGAACCATGGAAACAAGAATTTGAAGATATGCTTCCTCTTCTCCCTACATTGTTAGCACATCCCTTTCTCCTCTTGACCACTTTCCATTAATGTTAATTGCACATTTTCTTTAGATGAAGCAGAGACACTGCAGACAAGGTTATAGCACTGTGACTTTAGAATATCTGTTGTGTGGTGGCAGAAGAACATTAAATATACTTGGTTTTACTTGAATTTTTCCATTTCCTTCCAACAGAGGAGCATGAAGAATCCATTTACAACCTATACATCTCAGAAGTTCGAAACATGAGACTTCGTTTGGAGAATTGTGAAGATCGTTTGATTAGGCAGATTCGAACCCCACTGGAGAGAGATGACTTACATGAAAGTGTATTTCGGATCTCTGAACAAGAGGTGAGTCTTCTGAGCTTCTCTGTGGGCTCTCCAAAGCTCATGAAATGTAACAGTCGTGTTACATGAGCTCATAAAAAGCTTATTCAGAAGGGACCGCTACAATTATCTGCATGGTTGCATCTACAAATTAAAACGAGTAATGTGCACTTGTAGAGCTAATTAAAGTGAAGTAAACATTTGAGCCACCAGTTGGTTTGGGGCAGTTTGTTTACAAATGCCTTCATTTTGGAATTCCCAGACCAAGCAGGTGAGCTTTACTGGTTCTTTGAAGATAAAAGTGAGCGAGGATCTTATCAAAGAAGTCTTTTGGTTTTGTGTGGCAGTGGTTACGACTTTGGAGTTCTAGCTTGGATTACCTAATTTTGCTTCTACTGGCTTGAACCCTAGCTGGTCCTCAACAAATGGAAGGGCAAACAAACAATGGAAGGACACAACCCCCCTTTACACTAAGAATAGGCAATAGAATGAAAGAATGATATCCCCATCTCTCTCCCCACCTCCCTTTTACCCCAACTGCAAGATGTCTATGACAAAAATGTCTCTCACCAAACGTAAACGAACTGTGAAAAAGACAAAGAATTGAAAGTGGAGGCAATAGATGTACCGTTCACTGTTTATCTGTTTGCTTTGTAACACAAAAACCCCAATAAAAAGTAATTTAGAAAAATGGAAGGGCTCATTTCAATTTCAGAAGGAACTGAGATTCAGTGGAGGTTCCCCACAGGCAGGGCAGTTTTTGTGATTTCCTCTTTCCCCTGTAGCCTCTCATGCTCCTCCAAAGGGTCCTAGAACCCTTTGCTCATATTATCTTCTATAGTATTAGTGTCTCTTGACCTAAGGATGCTTATTATGATTGTTTGAGAACTGCTCCTTGCTATAGGGGGGTAAAACATTTCATCTTTGGTTCTGTAGAAACTGAAGAAGGATCTGGACCGACTCAAGGAGGACTTGGAAACAATCACAGACAAATGCGATGATTTTTTCAGTCAAGCTGCTGGTTCTCCCTCAGTTCCTACTCTGCGGTCGGAGCTTAACCTAGTAATTCAAAATATGAATCAGGTTTACTCCATGTCTTCCATTTACATAGAAAAGTAAGTAAGCCATCAAGTCATTCACATTTTGTTACACTTTTTCATCATCATTTGATAGGATGATGTAGTGTGTGCTTGGAGGGGAAGCTGAGTATATTCACAGTTTTGAATATTTTGTTGAATTGAATAATAGATACAGAATTTCATATGGCCACCTTGAAAGTGTTTATAAAGTTGAAAGGCCAGAAATAAATTTAAACAAACAAACAAATAGAAGAATGAACTTAGTCGTATAGTCATCATATACTAAAAAAGTTTTAAAACTTTAGAACTATTTGGAAATTATGAATGACAAGTGACCCCTTTTGTTTCAGGTTAAAAACTATAAATTTGGTGCTGAAAAACACTCAAGGAGCTGAAGCACTGGTAAAACTCTACGAGACTAAACTATGTGAGGAAGAACCATTAACTGCCGACAAGAGCAATATTGAGAACCTTATGGCTACGTTGAAGGTATTCTTATGATGTACAGAAAAATAATAATGAGAAATAGGTGTGCTTTTAAGTAATATAAAGAAGTAAAGGAGATTGATATATACTGTCATAAGAACGTAAGAACAGCAGCATCCTCTTCTCTCATTGGCCAGCCAGATGCCTATGGGAAACTTGCAACAGGACTGAGCACAAGAGCACACTCTCTCCTGTGGCTTTCAGAAACTGGTATACAGAAGCGTTACTGTCTCAGACCTTGGAGACAGAGCATAGCCATCAATAGCCCTCTCTTCCATGAATTTGTCTACACTTCCTGTATCCAAGTTGGTAGCCTTCATTGCTTCCTGTGGGAGCAAATTCCATAGTTTAACAAGGTAGTACTTTAGAAGAAGTACTTTATTTTATCTGTCTTGAATCGCCTGCCTTCTGTTTGGCCTTTAGAAGAATGGAAATGAAGTAACATGAGTGGCGTTGAGATGTGGCCAGTTGACTGGTCAAATATTGTGCATTAGGAATGAATGCTGATTATTACGTCATTTCCCAGTAACACTTAGCTAAGAGCTGAGCTGCATATTACACCATCATGTGGAAAGAAGACCAGACGTTTAGAATCCTGAGGTTTTCCTCCCATCCCTATAGGGCAGGGATTGGGAACCTGTCCTCCTCCAGATGTTGCTGGACTCTGACTCCCATCAGCCTCAGCCAGCATGGCCAGTGGTTAGGGATGATGGGTGTTGTAGTCCAACAACATTTGGAGGTTCTCTATGCCTGTTATAGGCAACAAAAGATGGAGGATCCTGAAGCAGTCACTGGTCCCTTTCCTTCCCGTATGGTTCTTCAGAAAAGAAAAACACAGCCAAATTATACCAGGAAAGAATGCAACCTTTTCCCTTCCTTCTTATGCAGCTAATTTTCCTTAGCTGCGGAGAAGAGGAAGACCAGGGAAGATTAGCCACATGAGAGATAAACTTAGGTATGCCTATAATTAGCAAAGTATTCCTCTTCATTATAGTTACAGAAGCAGTAATGGTGCAAATACAAAACCATTTTTTATAGCATTTCACTGAAAATTTGGGTGCTTTGTTTGTTTCCCACATGGATACCCTATTACTAGTTAGTAATATGATGCATATTGATTTGAAACAGCAGCATTATGATCTGTATTGAGATGTCACATGTTTTGTGTACCAGCAATGGAGATCAGAGGTTGATGTAAAAAGAGAAGTATTCCATGCTCTAGAAGACGAACTCCAGAAAGCTAAAGCAATTAGTGATCAGATGTTTAAAACACACAAGGAACGTGATCTCGACTTCGATTGGCACAAAGAGAAAGCAGATCAGCTGACTGAGAGATGGCAGAATGTTCATGCTCAGATTGAGAACAGGTTAGTACTCCTACTTTGTTTTCAGAAACTTCAGAGTGAAACCTTTCTTTTGGTGCATGTGGGGTTACCTTATGCTGGTCCTGGAGTTTTGGCAGAGTGTCCAAATGTTAATTTTAGGTGTTTTCAAGTACTTTCCTTCAGGAGGTCTCAACCATCATGTACAGCATAACTGAGGAGAGAAAGAAATAAAGAAGATAAAACTGCTCTGGTTTGGTCATTTTGACAGGAGTGCGGGTGCTGCTTTCTTGAGACTTCTTCCAAAACAGCTCCTATAACATACATATGAAGGAACACTGAGCAGTGAATATGGTTCCTTCATTCACATGCAAGGCCGTCCCTAGGGAAGTGTGTGGAGCTGGACAAATCTCACTGTTTGGGCTCCTTGTTGCGTTAATCTACCCCCTGCCTCACCAAGTGGTGGCTGTGGCTCCTCTTCAGTCTCCCTGTGGAGAGTTGCCACTTCATATGTGGGAAACCAGCTGCTGATTCACCAGTCGTGTGGAAGTGTTCCTGTTTTACATTGAATTCCACCATTGTACAAATCCATCCAACTGCTACCAGTGCATTGACAGTAAACTTACACATTGCATATGAAGCAAACCCTCAGTAAGCACATTTCTCTGCACCTCCTCCTAAGGCTTACTTTTTGTTGTTTTGCAGCTTCTGTTAGTAGCAACAGTCTCTCCTCCCCTTTCTTTCCGTCTGGCTTAATTTTTTCTTTCTTTTGCTGCCTCTTTAGTATTGGCACTGGGATTCTTTGCCTCCACCTCCCTGCTTTTCTCTAAGAGCGAAGGAGATGGAAAGATTTGCCCGGTGGGCGAGAAGCTGCAGGGACAACTAAACCCAGGGCTGTCACCTCCATGTGGCCCCCTCAATGACCCTGCACACATGTTACTGCAGCAATGTGGAAAGAAGTCACAGGGAAGCAACTTCCACACTGTGGCTTCTGCAAGATACATACTGCATGTCTGTGATTCCCTTGGTTCAATCCTTGCTATCTTCAGGAAAGCATGCCTGTCTTAGAAGCACTGTGTGGGTAGTCTTCTGTCCTGACAGTTTAAGGTACCCTTATTTATGGCAAATGAGAATGCTCCTGCGTGCTTGTGAGATAAACATGAAACAAACGCTGCCTTCTCTCGGACAGCTTAATTGACTGTGCTGGCAGTTCACCATCAACACTTAGGCGCTCTGAGCGCAAGAGGTAACAGATTTTGTGTCGACTGCCGCTTGTAACTGTAAACAGACTGTTCCCTACAAATGTTCACCCTCCTGTTTTTACATACATACATATATATATATATACAAGAAGCCGAAAGCACCAGCCTGAAGATGACGAGTGAGACCTCGTCGAAACGTCGCCTAGACACCCCAACTTTTACACGGGAAGACACCCGAGGACACCAAAACCTGCATATATATATATATATATATATATATATTTGCTTTCGTAGATTTTCACGGGTACAGGAATGCAGGTTTTGGTGTCCTCGGGTGTCTTCCCGTGTAAAAGTTGGGGTGTCTAGGCGACGTTTCGACGAGGTCTCACTCGTCATCTTCAGGCTGGTGCTTTCGGCTTCTTGTTACTGGAACAGAGCAGGATCTCAGTGTTTGAGTTCCTATAAATACACCACACCCCCTCAACAGTATTTATAGGAACTCAAACACTGAGATCCTGCTCTGTTCCAGTAACAAGAAGCCGAAAGCACCAGCCTGAAGATGACGAGTGAGACCTCGTCGAAACGTCGCCTAGACACCCCAACTTTTACACGGGAAGACACCCGAGGACACCAAAACCTGCATATATATATATATATATATATAAAATAAAAATAAAACCCTGGCTAGTATCAGTATAATTTTTCTTCAGCTGTATAAAACTTAGCCATTTTAACTATTGCCCACATTATTTACTAATTGCTACTCACAGAACAAGAGGGGCCATAGAGAGGTATGGAGGTGTGGGTTCTATTACCCCACAGCCTCAACCAGGCCAGGCCAAGCCAGAAGCTTGGTGAAGGAGCGTGTGTTTTTTTATTCTTCCTGTTGCACCAGTATCAGGCTGGCCCAGGCTGGGGAAATGGACTGAGGTAGGACTGAGCAGGTCCATGGCCCCAGCTCTCAAAATGCTCTGTTTCAGTGTCTTACACTGGGTACTGCTGTTGGGAGCACTGATGGCAACAGTATTTCCACTGCCTAACTTTCCACAGTTTCAGCTTTCTGTGGGGGTGTCCCAAGTGGTAGACAACAGTGGACAGGGGAATCCCTTCAATCTTAACCCCCTCCAGCACCACAGATCAGTTTTTAGGATTGCAGTTATCGTAATTACCACATAATGTTTCGCTTTTTTTCTTCTCTTTCTGCCTCAAACTTGAAAACTGCAGGAAAAAAAGTTCCTCCTCCTCCTCCTTCTTATTTTCCCTGTAGATTGCAAGGTCCTTTTCTATAATGACTTTTGTAATAGACTAGGTACCTATTTTTCCCTAACGACCATGGATTTGGTCAGCATATGAAGAATTGGGAATTTATTCTAAAGTGAGTCTTTTCTCCACATTCTAATCCTGAAGTTTTGCAACTGAGGAATACTGTTGCAGGACATGGAACATGACTGCTCCGTTTTTCCTTTTGTTTTTTAAGCTTCTGCTGAATTCTACATAACGTCCCTCTAGTGGTCACCCTGAGTAGCTTTTTATGTCTAAAAAAATACACTGGTACATGTAAGCATCCTTGTCTGAATCTGGAGGTTATCGTGGCAGGGGATTCACTTATTTTTCAATGCCTGGCATTCGAAATGAGGAACTTGTAGATAGAGACAGAGAGAGACAAAGCCCTTTGAAATAAGGAACACAGGGAGAGACATCTGGCTTCCTATAAAGATGAAGGGATGTTTGATAGAGAGATAGAAGGTTGCCTGGAGCTTTATGAACCCAGGAATGTGTGTTCTTTGGCATGTATTCCTCAGAACTAATACATTTCTTGATAACTGTGAGCTCAAAAAAGGCATGGAAATTAAAAAGAACTCAGAGAGTTCTTTTTTTATGAAATTGGCAAAGCCTTTCATTCTGAAGGTTTGCAGGAAAAACCCTGAGAAAAGGACTTCTAGCCGAATGATGGCTTCTGACAGCCAGCTGTTTATGAAGTGGTGTAGCCTAGCGCTGAGCTGCAAACCAGGAATTTCTAATTTCACCTTTGCCCTGAACTTACTGTGTAGCCTTAGGCAATCTCTGTTCTGTTTCAGACTTAGCAACCAAAAATCTTTATTGGGGGGGGGGATAATAATACTGACTTGCCCTTACAAGGTTATTGTAAGGTTGCTGGTGGTGATGATGGTTAGTTCATTATTGTTATTGCTACTAGTTTGTTCTTCCTCACTGAAACAGCTTGCTTTTCACTCAACCAGATTGCGTGACTTAGAAGCTATCAATAAATCCCTAAAGTACTACAGGGATACATATGGTGCACTGGATAACTGGATCAAGCAAGTCGAAGAAACTCAGCAGAGGTTCCAGGAAAACCCACCTCAGAACAGTAAAGCTCTGGCCAAGCAGCTAAACCAGCAAAAGGTAAAAGCTTGATCGATTGATTTAATTTGTTTATATGCCACCTTTCTGTAGTGAGCTGATAACAAATATCCACTTATAACATGCAGGTTTTGTTCTAGGGCTTAGATGTAAAGAATTAACAACTAAGCTAAAGATAGCCAGTTTCTGTTCAGCTAATAAGAAAAATTTCCTTTTAAGCAGTGTACTGGATATACCTCTATATCTTACATTATTAATAATCTAGTGTGTTTCTGCATATGTTGGTTGAGGGCAACGTCCCCCCCCTTCCATTTTTCTTGTAGAGCCAAAGGTAATTTATAAAGCGGACCACAGGGAAACAGCCTTTCATGCTAAGTTTTTATACATAAACACAACTTTCACGTTTTCAGTCTAGTATGTTTTAAAAACAAGTAGAACACCAGCCTTTAAGATGGGGAAAGTTGCATAGGTTGATACTGTTACATACTAAAATTCTCTTGTTTATTTTACAGATGCTCGTGTCGGAAATAGAGACGAAACAAAACAAGCTAGATGAATGCCAGAAGCACTCAGAGCAGTATTCAGCTGCAGTAAAGGTAAAACTATAACTTCTGTGCACAGTTATTATTCTTTTTTAATTCTTTGTGGAAATGTGAGCATTGCTCAGCATCCAGAATGATGACAGTGATGCTGCTGTTCCTGCGCCTGGAAGTCTGGGTGTGGAAATGTGGAAGCTGCTGTGTCTTCTGAGAGATACACTTTACACATTGCTTCACATGTTGCTGTTACTGCCACAGCTGCTGCTCCAATCCACATTGCTAGGCTGCATTGTATCAGTGGGCGCTGGCAGCAGTAGTGGGCCGGGGTGGCGGCTCTCAGCCGAACTCTAGCATAGGCAATCCGGTGCTCCTTCCAGTGCATTTGCAAAATGCTGACCTTGCTGCTGCCTCATCTTGCCCCTATACCTCATAGTGGCACTGTGGTCTAAACCACTGAGCCTCTTGGGCTTGCCGATCAGAAGGTCAGTGGTTTGAATCCCCGTGACAGGGTGAGCTCCCATTGCTCTGTTCCAGCTCCTGCCAACCTAGCAGTTCGAAAGCATGCCAGTGCAAGCAGATAAATAGGTACCTCTGCGGTGGGAAGGTAAATGGCGTTTCTGTGCGCTCTGGTTTCCGTCACGGTGTTCCATTGCGCCAGAAGCGGTTTAGTCATGCTAGCCACATGACCTGGAAAAGCTGTCTGTGGACAAACACCGGCTCCCTCGGCCTGAAAGTGAGATGAGCACTGCACCCCATAGTCGCCTTTGATTGGACTTAACCATCATGGGGTCCTTTACCTTTTTTATCTTAAACTGCAGCAGCACCACGGACCAGAGGTCAGGCAAACAGTGTCACCCCACCATGCCACCCTCTCCTGTGCTGCTGGGTGTGGTCTGTAATCAGACAATCCAACCTACCCACTTGAGTGGCAGCTTTACCTGTCACCAAAGCAACAGAGAAAAGCCAAGAGAAACCTCCAATGGTCCTGTTCAGCTGTGTGCAGGCATTCTTCCTATCTCTACCTCTGTTTCCAGAGTGACAGGTTTTGTATGGAAAACTATCAATGAAATCTGCCAGTTGAGCTGAGGGAAGTTGCTGTTTCCCAGTCCAGTTATAATGTGAGTTCCACAGCAGCTGCATTGTCTTCTTTTACACTCCCGCTTCACTGCCCTAGTGTCACAGGATATCCAAGATATCTTCTGGTGACTGTCAGCTGACAGGAGGTAATCTTTCCCTCCCAATACCTTGCATCCCCTCCCCCTCAAAATCTGTTCTGGAAGGTGTTCTCCACCTTTCAACTGTCTAGATCTAGAGGGAGTATCATATGCTGTAGGGGGATTGCCTAAAATTGCCTCCTTCCCAGTTCTGACAGATTCCCTTCTGTCAGCAGACCAGTCGCCACTGGATATCACCCATAGTCTTTAGTACTCAGATGAATTTATGCGGCACTTGAAAGACTCCTAGTATGGAACAAGTAGCTTACAGGTTTACCTATTTCCATTTATTTTCTGCAGGACTACGAGTTGCAAACGATGACATACAGAGCCATGGTTGACTCCCAGCAAAAATCTCCAGTGAAACGCCGAAGAATGCAGAGCTCCTCTGATTTCATTATCCAAGAGGTAGTTGGACGTGCCTTAATATATAATGCTTTATAATGGCCCACATTCCACTTCTGCATTGTGAAAGCTTTTGAGCCACGTTCATGAAATACGTTCAGTATAAATATACAAAGCTAGTAATTGATCATGTTACACCCTGCTGCTTCATTTTGGGTGCGGCTAGTCTGGCTACAGCTACTTGGACAATATATCCAGTCAGAGAGCCCAGTGTGGCAAACATTAGTCACCTGAAGTTGCCAGTGTTACATAGATTAGTTTACCACATTATTCCAGGGTACAATTTCACCAGTTTCCATATCATCAACTTCAGTGGAATGCGCAAATGTGCAGTTGTGGAATGGACTGTGGCCAGTGCCTGTGATTCAGAAGAGAGGTGGTTGCCCAGAGGTAGAGTACATGATTTGCCTGAAGAAGGTTCCAGGTTCAACTACTGGCATCTCTAGCAAAAGGAATCACAGGTTGCATGACAAGGAACATCTGGTGGATGATACCTTAGAAAGCTTTTACTCATCATAGATAGTACTGAACTGGCTGGAACAGTTGGTCTGATTCAGTATAAGGTAGATTAATGTGTCCAAAAGAGTTAATGAGGATTTGTAAACAAAAAACCCCAAATCACTGCAATTTAGAAGTTCAGTGTAGGTAGGGAGTTCTTTAGAGTTAAAGGATCTAAAGAACTTAGATTAAAATGGATACTGGTGACCATAGGGTAAAAGTACAACAAACTGACCAGCGTTTGGAACCTATCCCTGGCTGTTAATGAAATGAGGCTGCAAATAGACATTTCTTTGTTCAAGAGTTTGCAAGCTCACCCATCAGCAAGATAGAGATTAAGTGCAATCGAGACTGAATATAATCACAGACTCTGTGAATGATAGCCAGAATACAAAGAGTTACAGAATGATTTATGAAGGGTTATGTTCCTTTATATGGCTGTAACCCTCATGACTTTTCGGGACCCTGAAGCATCCTTTTCTAATATAACATATTGAATGATGTCCCTGCTTCATACAGAAAAATGTGTTGGGATTCCTTGCATTCAATAATTCATAAAATAAATGATTTAAGGTGTGAGGGGTTAGGAGGTTAATCCCATGATGAATTTGGTCCTTCATCTTTCATTCTTAAGAGCACCTCCACACTTGCTACCCCCAAAGCAGACAGAAGTCAACTCCTCTCAACACTCTGTTTGCTACACTGATTCTTCTAAGAATCTGTTGGACTCAGGGTCATCTTTCTAATGTGTTTTGTATATTATGATTTAGGAAGACGCAGTGCATTTTTATTTCAGAAATCATCTTGTAACCTTATTTGTTCTATATAAAAGTAAATAAATTTAAGACACTCCATTTCAGTATGAATCAGTACTGTTCCTCTGTTTCATTGCAGTTTATGGACTTACGAACACGCTACACAGCTTTGGTGACTTTGATGACTCAGTATATAAAGTTTGCTGGTGACTCTCTCAAAAGGCTGGAGGAGGAAGAGGTAAGTCAGCAGATAACTTTCAAAGGGATGGTAAAACCACTAAGATAGCTATACTTTTTTAAGTATAAGGATAGATGATGTGAACTCCTTACGTACTCTCTAGATATAAAATGAAGGTTGACATCACGTATCTAGTGAACACCAAGACTGACCTGAAATTATCCACCCTCATTGTCCTTACTATTTTTACTACTTTAGTTTGCTAAAATTCTATTGCAGGATATTGGTTCTATATGAGAATTTCCCTAAGGTACTGAGAAACTTGTAAAATACCATTATATTTATTGGCTCATAAGCTCTCTCACACTGCCGTGCTTTCAACTTAGCAGCTGGATTTGATAGTAGTCTTAAGTAGTGATGACAGGATGAACGGATGAACAGGGTTGGGAAGTATGGTGAAGGGAGGCATCTGCATGCAAGCAAAGATATCTCAATAGTTCCTGTGATGTATAGTATTGAACAAGACCAATTCAGAAAAGAGTTTTCTATTCAGTCTGCAAATAAAAATGACAAGCAGACAAAGCTGCCAGTGGAGGCAGTGCATGTTGCTGATGAAAGGGAGGAGAAATTTAAATGGTCTATTTTACTGAAGGAGAGAGCAGGAGTACATGGAAAAACTAATTCTGAGCCTGTGATGAGAATAAAGAATAGAAGTAGGAAGGCAGGACATTATCCCATGGGAATCAGCCCAATTGAACAACCCACTTGCCTTTCAGAAAGGTTGCACACTGAGAACCTGAATAAAGGGTTTGAAAAATATTCTCACAGAGTACTGTGGAAGAGAATAGTCAAACAGGTGAATTGTTAGCCATTGTGGCAAAACTGCCCTAAGCAATTTAAAACCAAGGGGGGAATCAGTAAGGCAGTGCAGCAACAATTAAAACATGTGTCCTTCTGATAGGTGAATACTACTAACACATTACATAATATGTCTCTAGATAGCAGCAATTTTACACAAGAAAGACTGTACAAACTCCAAAGAAAATAAATGTTGAAGGCCAAGGAAGCACAACTTGTTTCTATGCTGTTTCAAAGGTTTACACAGTAGAAAACACAGTTGTACAGCATTGTCTAAAAGTGTATGAACTAAATTGTGGTATGATGCAAAGCAACATCAACCAAAATATGAATTCAGTATTGTTACATTATTCAAATAAATAGTGATGTAGTGCTGATCACTTCCCGAAGCAAAATAATTTTGAGGAAGGATAATTTGGACATGAACCAAAAAAGGAAAAATTTGAAGATACCCTTTCTTGCAGTCTGCAAACAGGGGCGCCGACTTATAAAAAATATTGGGGGGGCCCATACCGGGGTCCTGCCCCGGGAAGTTTTCTAAGTTCCAATGTCAGCGGCGCCCAGCAGAGCAGCCCTCTCGGCCACGGCAGCCTGGCTCTCCCAGCCCCCGGGGGCCGCCCTCCTCCCTCGTGCACCCGCAGTGTTCCCGCCCGGGGAGGCGGCGCCCCCAAGGACTCAGGTTCGGTTGTACCTGAGAAGCCGAGCACCTTGGCTCCCAAACAAATCGGCTTCTGAACAATCGAAACCCGGAAGTGAGTGTTCTGGTTTTCAAATGATTTTTGGAGGGCGAACATCCGGTGCGGCTTCCGATTGGCTGCAGGGGGCTCCTCTGGCAGAAGCCGCACTCTGGTTTTCAAATGGTTCCAGGAGTCCAATGGACTCCCGGAACGCATTCTGTTCGAGAACCAAGGTACAGTGGACGCTCGGGTTGCGAACGTGATCCATGTGGGAGGCACGTTTGCAACCCGCAGTGTTCGCAACTCACATTGCTGCGTCTGCGCGCACACAGGTTGTGATTTAGCACTTCTGCTCATGCACAAGTGCCGAAACCTGGAAGTAACCCATTCCGGTACTTCTGGGTTTCAGTGCATCCATAACCTTAAAATGCTTAAGCTGAAGCATCTGTAACCCGAGGTATGACTGTATGTACCAGTCCTAAGGAACTGGCCAAGTAAGGCAATCAGCATCTGCAGGTCCCTTGACAGACAGGAGAGAAGCCACACTCTTGGATTTCTGTTGGTAGATGCCTCTTCCTGAGATGCTTGTATTATGCTAATCATAGAATCATAGAGACAGAAGGGACCCCAAGGTCATCTAGTCCAGCCCCCTGCAATGCAGGAATCTTAGCTCAAGCATCCCTGACAGATGGCCACCTAGCCTCTTCCAGGGAGCAGAGACCGTCTGAACAGCTCTTATTGTCAGAAAGCTCTTCCTGATGTTGAGCCGGAAAAGTCTTTCAAAGCTGCTGCACACCTTTGTTTGGGGTCCTCCCCTCCTTGCAAATGTCAGTGGGAAGGAGGGCTCTGTTTCAACAGAAAAATAAAGATTCCCCCTTTCTTCCAGCTTCCACTCATTCGTCTCCGACTGATAATGGACTTGGGAGGCTTTGAGCCCCTTGGGGAGCTGAGCTGTAAAGGACAACCTCCAATTTTCATGCATCAGAAGGAGCCCAGGAGCCCCATCGGGGCTTACCCTGTGCAGGCTGGTTCCCCCCCACACACAAACACACACACTGGGTTGCAATTTTGTGGGTCAGCTTTGGCTGGGAGAGGCAGCCCCCGTTAAGTCTCTGCCAGCCCAATAGCACAGCCCCCCCCCGCCAAGTCCATGGCAGGAGACAGGCAGCAGCACCCAGACCCCAGAGGCTGCCCTTGGGACTGGCGTTCCCACACTGCCGCCTCCGCAACAAAGGCCAGCGGCCAAGTTCCCCCCCCCAGCCGCTTCCTTGGTCCCACAGGAAAGCCAGGCAGGGGCTGCACATCCTGCCCTCCGCCTCTTCCTGCTGCCCCCAACAGACAACCAGGCCTGCAAGCTTCCTCTTCTGACATCGCCCAGGCCCCCACACAGCCCCCCACCAGCAAAACGCCCAGGAGTTTGAAGGGACCCGAGGGCCACGCAGCCAAGGGGTCTAACTCTGCAGGGAAAAGCTTCCTGTCTTTCCTCTGCCCCCTCCCCACCGGAAAGGGATGGTGGCTGCAGGCTCTGCCCCCCCCTTAACATCTGCAAAATGATTAAGGCTGATACATTGTGTTACAGGATTTTATCTAGGTAACTTCCCTGAGCTGTCAAGTTGAAAGGGTACATTCAGGCATAATATTTGCAACATTTAACAACTTTAAAGATGTCCCCCCCCCTGTAATTTCCATAACAGTTGGAAGGACAAAAATATAACCTCCTATGACAACTCCTGCAACCCATGAGCTTTCAGACAAAGATCATGCATGGACAAATGTAAAGATCTTTGGAAAGTATTGATCGAAACCACAGTAACAAACAAATCAATGTATCTTCAAGGGAAAGAATAAGTAGATCCATTTGCATATATAGCTCTGTAGGCTTAATGAGATTCCCACAAAACATTAGGAAGGCCTTTCTGGTGGTGAGAGCAGTCAGAGAGGGGAAGGGGCTTTTAGGGAGAGGTCGGGGGGGGGCATCTGCCAGGGATGCTTTAGCTGTGAGTCCTGAATTGCTGGGGGTTGGACTGGATGACCTTTGGGTCCCTTCCACCTCTATGATTCCATGACCTTTAAGGGAAGTCACCTCCATCTTCATCTCAGAGCAGATGCCCACAAGCCCTGGGCGGGAAGAGCCCGAGAGAGAGAGAGCCGGAGAGAGAGAGAGAGAGAGAGAGCCCGAGAGAGAGCCCGAGAGAGAGAGAGAAAGAGAGAGACCGAGAGAGAGAGCCCGAGAGAGAGAGAGAGCCCGAGAGAGAGAGAGAGAGAGAGAGAGCCCGAGAGAGAGAGAGAGAGCCCGAGAGAGAGAGAGAGAAAGAGAGAGAGAGACCGCGAGAGAGAGCCCGAGAGAGAGAGAGAGCCCGAGAGAGAGAGCGCCCGAGAGAGAGAGAGCGAGAGAGAGAGAGAGAGCGCCCGAGAGAGAGAGAGCCCGAGAGAGAGAGAGAGAGAGAGCCCGAGAGAGAGAGAGCGAGAGAGAGAGAGAGAGAGCCCGAGAGAGAGAGAGAGAGAGAGAGAGAGACCGAGAGAGAGAGAGAGAGCCCGAGAGAGAGCGAGAGAGAGAGAGAGCGCAGCCAAGCCCCCTTCACCACCTGCCCCCCCCGCCAGCCCCCTCTCCCCTCCTCCCTAGGCGGCAGCTCCGCCATGACCACAAACGGCGGCGGCAGCAGCAGCAGCCGCGCGCGGCCCGGGCTCCCCTCGCCGGCCGCGGGAGCCAAGGCGCGCGATAATTTGCTTAAATTATGTCAGCGGCGCCCGGCAGAGCAGCCCTCTCGGCCACGGCAGCCCGGCTCTCCCAGCCCCCGGGGGCCGCCCTCCTCCCTCGCGCAACCGCAGCGTTCCCGCCCGGGGAGGCGGCGCCCCCAGGAGAGGCGGCAGCAGCAGCCGCGCGCGGCCCGGGCTCCCCTCGCCGGCCGCGGGAGCCAAGGCGCGCGACGAGGGAGCCAAGGCGCGCGATAATTTTTTAAATTATTGGGGGGGCTGAGCCCCCCCAATAAAATTTTTGAGGGGGCTCGGGCCCCCTCAGGCCCCATGGGGTCGGCGCCTATGTCTGCAAATGCTGAGAGTTGTCTGAGAACGTTGTCTGTGGTTTGACGACTCTATTCACTGGTGTTCACAAAGAAAATGTAGAGATGGAAGTGGTTATGTTTAAAAAAAAAAGGAAGGATTTTTTCTAGCTGAGTCAGTGCTGCATAAAGATGTACATGACCATTCAAAGCTACTCAAAGAAGACAAAAACCCTAAACTGAGAGAGGATGTCAGGAGAACAAAGTATGGAAACACAGGAAACGAACAGCCAGTTTTTGAATCAAGAATGTGCAGAGAAAGCATAGGCCAAAAGGAAGAAATAAAAAAGAAAGAGGTACATAGTTATATTGAAAATCAGAGGCAATCATAATGAATATAATAGTATTATAAAAATAAATACAAATTCAAAATCATTCCTAATCATCACTTGAAACTTAAATATGTCTTTGTGTGGTGGGAAAATTGATTTAAAACTGATTCAATGGAGTTTCAATATTTAAACAA